TGCTTTACAGTGCACAGCTACTTTTTCAGCTACTTCCTTTTCTGCTAACAGTGCTTCTGCTAGGCAGAGCCCTGGATGGTTGATCTTTCCTCCAACCTTAACTCAGTGATAACGAGGCTGAATTGCCTCACAGAGTCTGATAAATGGTCCAGATGTGTTTGGCCTGCCTTTTCTGTAGCTAAACGTTTTTAAAAAAGGAGGAAGATCACATAAAAATCTAGGAAGTGCTCTTATAAAAATACATTCAATTCTGATTCATCGTGTTTATATAAAATATTGTATCCTCTTTCTAGAAAGAGGATAATGGAGTAGTGCAGCAATTAAAATATGGAGGGGAGTGGTATTAGATAAGGGAAATACAGTCTGTTGCCAGGTGCATCTTCCCTCAATCTGGAAGTCTCTTCCACAAAAAGGGCATTTGTTGCTGTTGAGTGAATGAAGAAAGACAGATTTCTGAAGTGTTTCTATTACCTGGCTCTTCTGGTCTCTTTTTCAGTTTGGTTAATTAGGCTTCTGGTCTTGCATCATTTCAGAACTGGATCTCTTCTGTGCTTTTGGGGCTTTGCTGATCTATTTATCTTTTTAATTTGGAACATTTTGTATGTTATTAGGAAAACTATGTGAAGTATAAGGTTAGCACTTTCATTAAAACATCACTGTTTTTCATGATGAAGTTACCTGCAAAAATAGTATTGTTTTCTGTTATTGCATCAGGTAGGTGAACAAAGTATTTCAAGTAGCTTAGTCAGTAGTGGTTCTGCCTGCTGCCAGATTACCTACGACTCAGCAAAATGACTATAGATTTGTAGGTGAGTGACAGAAACTCTTGTCTTGTTTTGGTTTTCATGTCTGCTTTTTGCTTAAGTGTTGCTTAATTTACCTTCAAAACTGAAGATTGAATGTATTGTGTTTTTACCTAAAATGACTTTTCTATCTGATAATTGCATTGATACTTACGAAGTACTCATAGTTTTTCCCACTGTTCTTTTAAAAATTTGCAAAAAAAAAAAAAAGAAATGTTTATGCTTACTAGAGAGATGTAAATGTTAAATAGATTGACACCAAGATTTCTTTACAACTCTTGATTAATAGATCTGATTATTCTAATACACGGTGGCGTAACTTTGTTTACTTAAACAAGGTTATAGAGACGTAGAAGCAGTGGAGCAAGGTGAAGAATTGGACCAAATCATCGCCGTAGCGCTTAATCATATTTCTGTCTTTTAATCCACTTTAAGTTTATCTGACTTTTAAGATATAAACTAGCTTTACTAAGTGAGACATGCGGTGCTGGATAAACTGTTTCTGATTTCAATCTCCTTAGCTATATCACCTGCTGATGTCAATTACGGAGAAACTTTAAGTACACTTCGCTATGCAAATAGAGCCAAAAACATCATCAACAAGCCTACTATTAATGAGGATCCTAACGTCAAACTGATCCGTGAGCTGAGAGCTGAAATAGCCCGATTAAAAGCCTTGCTTGCTCAAGGGAATCAGGTTAGTTTTGCTTGAAATTTATGTATAATTTTCCTTGAGTTATAACATCTATTTCTAGAATGTAATGAGATAATTATCTTTCATTATATTGATTTGAGTAAACAAGCTGTATCAGGCTATGAATGAATATTATTTTCCTGATTGAATCAGCTTTCATATGGCCAGTAGATTACCTATTTTAACGTAACGGGGGAAAAATTACCCACCCAAAGCTTTTTAGCTTTGTCTTAATATAGTCAGACCTTGATTGCAGTATGCTGTGGAATAGGTACTCACCACACTGTCAGGAGACTGAGTAGTAACCTATTTGCTGTATCTAGCCTGAAGAACTGAAGAGATCCTCCGGTTGATATCTTAAAGTAGCAGAACTTTTAAAGTACTTGAGATGTGCAAATACAAAACTGTAGGAATAGGGACAGGTTTGAATGTCATGTTTTATTTGAGTTTGGCTGCAGAGTATGTTAGAAGACGGGTAACATGCTAAGCATATATGTAAAAGTACTTTCAGTGCTGGTGTAAGAACACGTGTATACTTTGTACTGGATCAGACTGGAAACACTCATAGATTAATCTCTCGGCTGCGGGAAGGTGAAGAAGCACCAAGGGGGGGCACTGACTTCGTTAACTGTCATTTCTGATGCTCAAGTAAATATCTGATGATACCCTTGTAAAATATAGATTTATTTCTAGAAATATCTAATTTTATTTTAGATAGGCTGTGCAATGTAAAATGTCAGCTCAGCATAGATAGTGTTATAGACTACTAGTACTTTAGCTAGATTTCGTGCCGTGAAACATTTGGTGAAAAAGGGGATGGGACCACAGTATGAAGCAGTAATAGGCCTGCAGATGATTGAAGCAGAGAGTTCTGCTGTCTTGCAGACAATTAGAGTAGTTCGACCCCATAAAGAGTTTTCTATTACACTCCTGTGTTTTTCTCATATTCTTTGAGAAGGGAAAACTTATTTTTCTACCCTGGGTTGTTGTTTTTGAAATATGGTTTGATTTAGAGTTGACAAAGTAGATAGATCTTCAAAAGGTTCTAAGTTATAATGTTTTGACCCAGTTCCAAACTGCAAAACAGCAGATATCACAATATAAATTTGATTTGGTTGTAGGATGTGATGGATGGCTGTGTAGGAGACAACAGAGGACTAGCTTAAGTTAATTGAATTTGTGATGATTGGTTAAACAGCAGGTGGTGTTAGATATACACAATAGAATATAAATCCCTGTGTAATTTCTTCTGTGGGCTCCCTTTATATTTCCAGAATTTCATATTGCAAATGCTTCCACAGATCACTGAAAATATTATTTACCAAAATATAGTATAGAAAGTTATATAACAATGAGTATTGCTTAAGTGTATTTTTCTGTTATAGAGTACTTTTCCTCTTCTACAGCCAGTTATTTTATTTTTTAAAGATAAACCGTATACATATATATTTTTATAGCAAAATAGTTAACTATACAAGACATATCTGGTACATACTCATTTTTCATGTTTAACAGAAATATAAAGATAACTGTATCAGAAAATTACTGTTACAAATTTTTCTGGTTTCAGTGTGTGTCGATGTATGTACATGAGGAATGAAAATACCCCCCAAACTGCTGATTTGTATTCAAAATACCTGCTTTGACAAGATTTTGATTACTATGAGTGTTTACTGTGATTCAAGGTTATATGTCATATATTGAAGTTTAAAATATTTTTTAGTAAATTATCAAAAAATGTTGAACAGTTACATTTCTATCGTTTGATTCCAACAGGATTTATTTTTATGGCATACTAATGTTGACTTTTACAATTTTAGATTGCGCTCCTGGATTCTCCAACAGCTTTAAGTATGGAAGAAAAGCTTCAGCAGAATGAAGCAAGGGTGAGTTAGCATTTGATATATCAAATCAGTAAGCAAATGGGATCTGGATGCAAAAGTGATGGTCATTTTCAGATTTTTTATATATTTTCTTAATTTTTAAGTAGTTTTAAACTTGTATTTTTGTTATCCTACTAATGCGAGATAACAGATTATAAACAAACTATATATCTTTGATATTTATATAACACTATTGTTTAAGTAATCAAAATATTTGTTCCCGGGCCAGCTCGCCTTATTAAAAAAGTATGTTAAATATAATAGGAAGAAAAACCCACTAAATTATAGTACTAAATTATGGTAATCAGAGTGATGAAGATCTCAATACATAGAAAATATAGTAAATTATTTTTAGGGGAATGGTTAATAACTCATGTTTTCAAGCAATCAATAACTTATGATATATATTTTCAGAAAGTGTCAGTCCTCAAATCTGTTACGGACATGTGCCAGTATGTTTGATGCCCAATTAGTCATCTTTTTTTTTTTTGATTCGAGTTCTGGGTGGGTATATTTCATGGTGTGTCTCATGGCAGGTGCTTTAATTATCCAGCCCAAGGGATCTGCCGGAGCACTTGAAGCCTCTTTCTGTGCCTACGCATGTCAGTTATCTTCCAGTGGAAGTCAGGAGGGCTGGGAGTGGGAAGGCAGCGCGCACCTTGGCTGGGGCGCCTTCCCGCTGTGGAAGCTGCGAAGAGTTCCCAGGCAGTTCAGATGTACTCATAGAATCCAAAAGAATATAGGTGTAATGGTACTTTCATTTCCGTAACTTACAGTCTGTCATTCTTCTTAGTTCTTTAATTTGTTATTAGTATTAGTTATTTATATTTTAATAGTACAAATGTAAACTCCATGCTTTATTAATGTTATCTCTCTTGTTTATTAGATATTAGTATGTAATAATTTAACCTGTTTTTAAAGCTACTGCAAAGCATTTTTTAAAAATATTACTCAGGTTTTGGGAAAAGAGGGAGGAAAGAATTTGAAATTCTTCAGATGTGTGGTACTGAATTTATTTACTGTATTTAGTTCTGAATATTGCCAACAGTGCTCCAATCAAATATGGATAGAAATGTCTTTACTAATGTAAATTAAAAGGCTTTTACCGGTACTGCTCAGCCCTCTGTGATTACAAGATCAGTGCATTACATTTTCAGAAATGTGTTTGACTTACATAACTGATTGATAGAGTATCTGTTTGTACTTTTTAGGATTCTGGTAGTTAATGCCAATTTTAAAGACAAGTTGAAACGCTATTCTATGAAATGATACTTCAAAAATAAACTTCATTAAAAAAAATGAACAAAACGTATGCATTAGTATGAGCCATAGCTGCAAAGTAGTCTACAGGCTTCTCTCTAAGCAAAGTTTCTGCTAGGAACACATTTTATAACTTTATAGCATATGCAGGAACTCCTTATTGTGTTGCATGCAATACTTGAAGAGCAGCCTGCATAACGACCCTTCAGCTGTAAGTTATATCTTCATATTAGCCTTCTATAGTTTGTTAATTTATCTAGCTGAATCAGAGTCAAATGACAGTATGGTTAGTATGTGTAATACACTTTTTTTTGTGTACCAATATAAAGCTTTTATCTAAGAATAGTTGAATAATATAAACTGCTGAATATATGCTAATTAGAGTATGTTATCGAAGCTCTGACAGTAATCACTGCTTGTCCTGCTCAGAAGCCTTGGCCTCTTTGTGTGGGAAGTATATTGAGCGTATATTATTATCTTTTGTCAATCTCATTAATAGGTTATGTGATTACTATTTAAGATAATTACTACAGCCATAATTACTGAAAATTCTTAATAGATATTGCAGTGGTTAGAACTTTTTTATAATTAAATGAAGGCAGTAATTAATTTGTTTATACACATCTAAGGACTTTATCACCATATTTAAATTATCTGACAAATATATGATACCTTTCTTTAATTAAATGATTTGTCCTATTAAAAGAACAATTTTAAATGATTTCTGTAGGATAAAAATTGTTCTGGTATGGTGAATAGAATTATGATAGACATTCTTAATTTCTTTTAACCTTTTTTATTTTTTTTAACAGTGTGATTGGCAGCGCTAGGCCTGATGTGACACGTTAAAAAAATCTATTTATCTTTCTCTCTTGCAATCCTGAGGTATAGGTAGAAATGAGAGAAGTTCCTGTAGTTCTCATAGGTTAATTTGCAGCTGATCTGCAAAGACAGCTAGGTAGTAAGCTGAAGGTTGCAAACGTGGAGATATTTGGAGGAATAGTGCTGAAAGACACCACCCCCCCACGCCCCCCCGGCAGCTTTGTATATAAAATCTTCAAAGGATGTAACTGTTGTGTTATTAAGCGTTTTACTGATGGCATGAGTTAAAATAAGACAATTGTTTATGCTTTTAAAAGTCCATATATTTAATTCCTGCATAGTGATTTCAAAAATAAGAGTATATTGTTTACGTGATATGACCTCAAGTAAGCCAGAGCTTTGAGATGGATTTACCTGGAACGCGTTCTGTAGAGCGCTTTCTAAACAGTCTGGAAGGCTTTGAAAGGAAAAGAGTCTTTATTAGAATATAAGCACTGATAAATAACTTAGGAAATAGACAACTTGATGAATGGGGAAGGCAGAACAAAACTTAAGTGTTTATACCCAGCTCTCCCTGTCCGCAGCACCTTTGCAGGCAGGTAACTTCTCAGTGTTGATTTTGGCCAACTCTGTGATTGCTGAGTTGCAGCAAATTTCGCTGTGGTTCTCTCCTGACGCCTGGCTGTCCGCATCTTCGGCTGCGGGCCGTGTTCTGCGCTCTCGGGAGGTTTTTCTCCCTGAATCTGCCTAGCTCTCTGTAGGAAAAGAACAGTCTTTGCATTACAGCTAAAGGATTTAGTCGCATCAGTCTGTGACAGTAGACTTCATGGGACTGACTAAACGCTTCGTGAAATTACTCTGTTTCTTTCAAAATACCTGCCATTATTTTATGGCAGGAGCTATCTCTGTCCTTTGTTTCATTTTACAGCATAAATAAGAATTTTCTAGTTTTCCTTTTTGAGAGAGAGAAGTTGTGAGCATGATCAATTAACTGGTTGTTTTCAGGCATATATATTCGAGGAGAAAGCATAAATCCTACTGGGGAGGAAACTGGGCTATATTTTGTTGAGGAAAACTAATAATCTCTAATTTTTTTCTGAAGCTTGGAGACTATTCTAGAGTTGTTGCAGGAGGAATAGTGCTCTTAATGTTTGTTTAAATGTTAAACTTTGTAAAGAATTGAGCAAATGCTTTCTACTTTACTCGGAATTCAATATCAAGGACTTTGGAGGGGCTGCGATTTTTCAGATATTTGTTTTCTTTTATAGGTGCAAGAACTGACCAAAGAGTGGACAAACAAATGGAATGAAACCCAAAATATTCTAAAAGTAAGGCATAGATAAATACTTATTTTTATTATTTTTTTTCCACCCTCGTAACCTTAGTCTTTCTTTGGCTTTTTTGCTTGCACAGAATTTTCGCAGTCTTGTGTTGGTGTATTAAAAGTAGTTAGTTTTTGGGGAGCTTTTTAGAGTGAATACTTATGTAATGTGATATTTTGGAATAAAATGTAAAATAACATTAATAAAGATTGAACAACTCTTTATTTACCTCACCGTAGTGGACCTCATACTGCCAAAAGGATGGGGTCTCACAAATATTTTGAATCCTGACTCTTCTTACTCAGTTACAAATGAAGATAAGCTGGCATAGAGGCACGTGGCTCCCTCTTCCTTTGGCGTTTGTGTTGTGATTATTCACAAGTCTTTCTGATACCTTTTCTGTTATGTTTGGTATCTCAGTGAATACCGTGCGTAGTAGATGCAGATTTTTGCATTGGCTATCAGATTTATGTTTCAGTCAGAAATGCCTTGTAAACTTGGAAAACAACTTTCAGTGGGATTTCTGCTGTTGAATCTCCCTGAGTATGTCCATCAGCCAAAGAAATGCATCTTAGCTAAATGTGCCCTGGAGTCCTAAGCATAGGGATCTTTCCAGTTGATTCACATAAGCTGGCTTGCATGTGCTCCTTGTTAGCTGAATGACTCCAGGTTACTTCTGGAGCAGCAAAATCCATACAACGCTCTCTTGTGCCTTGTAGATTTAGTACAGCCCCAAGAAGGTAACTTACTGATTTCCATACTGTGTTTTTTGCATGGTATAGACTGAGAATTTTTTGTTGTCTGTGCCTATCTTTGTCTCTCTGTTGTCTGATTACACTGGTGAAATTTTGTTTTGGCATTTGACCCCTGATGAGAATGATATTCTGAGGTAATACTTTAAAGGCTAATTATAATTCCATACCTGCACATGTATATATGCGCGCACATACACACACACACACACAGATATGCAAGCATCTTTCCCACAATTTCATTGCCACAACATGGACTAATGTTTTTTTCCAAGTGTTTTAACTATTTTGTTAAGCTTCATTTTCAAAATTTTTATTTTAGCCTTCACTCCTTGCTATACACACAGAGCATACAATTGTTTAGAGTGCAATTCAAGCGAACAGTAAGCAGTATTTGTTTTCTCCTTATCACTGATCTGAAATCTCTTTTTGTAGTTTATTTTTTCTGTGTATGGCTTTTTGTTTCCTTCTTTTTTTTTTTTTTTAAGTTCATTTCTGTCTTTTACCAGACTTATCTAAATAAGTCAAATGGCTCCATGTTTAAAAATAAAGCACAAATAATTTAGAGCACAGAGCAGGATTGGTAACTGCCTGGCAGATGGCATGACAGAATGGACTGTTTAATGTCTGTCCAGATACTGAACTGGGAATTACCATTTGCATATTCCTCAGAGATGTTTTAAGTTCAATTTTACATTATTCCTGTGGGTTTTTTTGCTATTATTTTGAAGTATCTGCACATACATAGTTCTTCATTTATCCTCTTTTTTTTTTTTTTTTAAACTAAATTCTAGATTGGGAGAGTCATTGTTACGTGGAGAATTTGTGAATTTTAGGCAGTTATGAAGCGAGCATGATGTAGCCTATGGAAAGTCTTCATAGATTAATGTTGGAAGTGCACTGATTCTTCCACAGAAATTCCAGAATTGTAGGAGGAATTAATTGAACAATTCCTATAAACAGGAGAAAGCTGCCTTTGTTATATAGCTGAATATACAAAACTTAAACACAGAAGCCAAAATATTCTAGTACCAGACTGTCATTAGTTTAATTCTTACAGCTTCTGTATTCTGCACTTTTATGAGCTGATATTTCAGCATATAACTATAGCTTATATTTTATTTCTGGGTTAAAGGCAATTGATAAAACTTTCTTGGCCCTGAAAAAATGGAAATTTGCAAAAGATTTATTGTTTACTGCTGTATTTTTACACCATTTTACTGAAGCTATGCATATTTTTATTCACTTCTTGTTTAACGATTCCTGAAATCACTGCTATCATATGAGTGGGAAAGGGCTTTTTGGAAGTTTGCCGGACTGAGTAGCTCAAAACCAGATTATAAACTATAGAAAGCAGTGGTGCCTAGTATAATTTGGGTTATGTTTATTAAAAGAGTGTCTAAGGTGCTCACAATCAGATGAGACTTTTTTGTTGTGAGTCAGTGAAAACTTTTAAATATTTAACACTTTCTTCCTGCAAAGCATTAAAAGATTGTAATGCTGAATTCAGTATTTTCTAATCCATTTGCAAGTGTTCAAATACTATTTATTGAGTAAATAAAAATACATTGTTGATTAGTAATTGTGATGGGATCTGATGATAATGACGTATCATTGTTTGGGATTTTCAAAGAGAATTCTCACAGTTGTTTCACTTCATTATATTTTACATTGCACATTATATATATGTATACTGTATGTGAATGCTTATTTTACAAATGAAATGCAAACTCGCATGTGTGTAGCAGGTCAGAGTTAATATTGCAGTAGACATCTGAAGTTTTTATAGGTTTCTGAAGTTAGAAGCTTGACTTTTCCTTCAAACCAATTTTAAATTCATTTTCTGTACTTAAATAAATGCTAAACGGGGTCAGCTTTACCCCTAAACCTGCTAACCTCTGTTTTGTTTTTGTGAAGAATACAGAGTCAGTTAGGTTCTTGAGACACCTCATCAGCATTAGGATCTTCTGAAAATCTGCTGCTACTGCAAACCTTTGGAGAAATTAAGAGCTGAGAGAGTAGTACCACTGATTTCCAAACTTCAGCGTGTGTGTTGTATCTGGCACTTTTCCTGAAACCAAATATACCAGGCAGTGAGTGGCATACTTAGTAAGCCCCTGGAGTTGGTGGGGGGGAGGTTCACGTTGCAAACCTTTCAGTCCAGAAGCCACTTTGGAGCACCAGGAACGAAGATATTTTGTCCCTTAGGGATCTGATGCAGAATCAGATGGAATTCAGAAAAAGCCTAATCATAAAAAAGCTTAAGGAAGGCAGAACAGGTTCAGTTCATGACTTCACTCTCTTATGTGTCTCTGTCTCTACAGTATTTCATGAAAAGGCATCTTGAGAGGGTGGTGATAGGATTTTAGAGAGCCTTGCCAGCAGGGAGGGAAAGACAGAACAGAATCTGGGCAGTGATATCTAGATGATGAAGGTCCACCAGGCCTGCCAGTGTCTCTACCCCAGAAAAGAAAGGGGGTTAATCATCCATTTGCTCATAACTGCCTTCCTATAATGGCTGGCCTTATTAAGAAGGGTATTTGATGTCTGAGAGAACGGTCCTTCTGGAGTTTCTTTCCTTCCTCCACCTTTTGATGGAGTATCCCAAGGCCTGAGTTTGCAGTCCTGACGTAGTTCTTCAGAAGGCTTTTCCTCCCCACAGCAGCCAACACTAGTAGGCTTGGAGAATTAAATCACACTTTCCCCCTCAGTCCCTAACACCTTTCCCCCCAAATCTTTTAAGCAGTTGATTTTGAAAATTCTTGTAGCCAGATAGATACTTATTCACAAATGCCTACCAGATGAAAGTGCATTACATTCCCGCTCTATTGCACATATTTGTGTGTTTTCACACTAGATTCAAAATATCAGAGTTCACATGTTTTTGAGTTGTTTTCACAGTATGATGAGAAAACCTCTTAACGTTTAACTGCAAAACAGTTGAAAGAATTGTGCGTGAGCCTTGAAAAACACAAGAAGCAAGATTCTTTGAGCGTGGTAGTGTCTTTTATTGGATCAACAGATATTGCTGGAAAAAGTCACCTAGCCTTTATGAATACAGTGCTTTCATCAGGCCTAGCAAAGAAATGATGCATTCAAACCTCCTTACTTTTTTGTGAGGAAGATGTTCTCTAAACTTTTTTGCTCTTCTTGAACATTTTGAACGTTTAAATTATACCAGCAACAACAAAATGCTACCTTGAAAGTAATACATAGAGAAGGGAAAATTCTATTCAGATAGGAAATATTGAAGAAGATTTTTAATGTATAAAGGCAAATTTTTGATAGAAAGCATTTGGCAGCAAAACCTTTGGTTATTTCAGTCAGTCCGATGCAATGTGTACACCTGACCTAGATACATCCTAGTATTCTTCCTTATTTCTGCCTTTAGCTTTAAGGTACTTATTCCACTTTGATATTTTGTCTCTATCTAGCTCATCTTTACTTATGGTTTCCATCACAGTGTGCATCTTCAGGTTGAATGTGGTGAATTATTTATAAACATTGTGAGTTTTGGATTTGGATTTGTCTGTATGGCTTAGTGCCACTTTCAGCTCCAAACATCTTTTATAGTCCTTCACATATACCACTGCCTGATTGGACATATGTTGGGCTGGTGATGGTAGTGTTGAAAGTGTGTTTGTTCTCTGCTGCATTTGGAAAAAGCCCTTTTGGGTTTCTGTGGAGTCTAAATTACTGTTAACTCACTTCTAAAGCCAAAATCCTCCCGTTCTTAATAATGCAAAGATTAGGACACTGCATACGTTGGGATTTTAAATTTGTGCTGTCTCATAAGAAGTATCTTTTGCTGTGTAGCCTGGCAGCTGCTTGGAATTGTTATCTGTCCAGTGTGGCAAGCATTGTTTCTAATGCTGATGTATCTCATGCTTGTTCTCATCCTTGACCTCCTTGCTCTAATATGGCATGACAATCTGACTTTACTAATCTAGTAAAAGAGTCTATCCTCTGGCCCTCCCTGTAATTGAAGGGAGGATATTTTGATGCTTAATAAACAAATATGTAGAAAGATGCTTAGTGTTATATAAAATACTGCTTTGAAATCCAAAGTGGTAACGTTCGATTTTAAAGCCCATCTGGTTTGGGTCATTTCCTCATATGTCACTAGCTCTGTCAAAAGAATTGCACTTCACAAAACAGCACCACTTTACGTTCTTTCTTCTGTCTTCAGATGTGTTGCAACCTCAGCACTTATTTGACTCCAAGGTTTTGCCTTCATCTCACTCTCATTGAATT